CATCAAAGGCTTATGGGCAGCAGCACGACCATGAAAACCAAGCAGATGTGTTTCCTTACGGATGGTATTCATTGAAACGATACTCCCGGATGTCTGTTGAAACTCCTCGCGGATGAGGGCCGTGGGTTGGGTGCGGCTCTTCCGAATTTCTCTGGACAGAACTTGTCGGTCTCTATCTCCCAGTTTCGCTGGTCTGCCGACTCGGGGCACATTCGGACAATCACCGCTCACCTTCCACTTCTTAATCACATAGGCCACTGTCGATTTTGGGTACTTCAGATCGCTAGATATGTCCCTTAAGGATCGGCCATATTTATGATACCCGATAATTATACCTTTCTCGAAATCAGAGAGCTCCGAACTGCGAGGCATCTTGCATGCGACTAAAGCCGATGCTGTTTCCTACACAATGTATACCGGTTGAGTCCGTGATGTACCTTAGGACCGCAGATATCACCACCTGCATAGGTGTCCAAATACTTATTGGTAGTCAGTGTATAATAGATAAATTTCCACTAAGTGATCCATTTCTAAAACATGCTGAAGTTGCTGTCATCAACTTGAGGACTGAAGTTTCATTTTCATCTGTTCTTTACTTGATGAATACTTTTCCATTCATTATTGATGAAAAATATCTTAATCAAGTGGAAATTGAATTTTCCATGTATCAAGTAGATGATTTGAAAGCAATTGTAGATTTGCATATTCATATAGCATGGGGAGAAATTGCTAAATTAAAAAATATGAATGGGTGTATTAAATACAAAGTATTGCCTACTGTAATGCTTGCTTTCTTAATAATACCTCATTCAAATGCAGCTTGCGAAAGAATTTTTTCTATTGTTAAAAAAAAAAAAAAAACAGATGGAATTTCTACCAAATTTAGGTCTTAAAATTCTAGAAGCAGTTTTGATTAAAAAAAAAGTATGCAGGCAAATGAAGAACTGTGTTATAAAAACATTCTCAAAATGAAAACTTAAGCTTGCTAAGCATGCTACATATAAATCTTTGTATTCGTAAATTATAAGTATTTTTTAAATAGTAGTATGTTATCTTGATTATTTAAACTTTATTTCTCTGCGGAAATCAAATCCATAATAAAGATGTATGATTTATGGATTCTGATTTTTTCTGATTAGTAGTGATTTAAAATACTTTCTTTTTTCATATAATAGTAGATTTAGTGATATACATGTGTGAGGAGTTAAATGAAAATTTCTAATTAAATGTGCATATACTTTACAAGTACATATAATTTTTAATTATTCAGTTTTATATGTATATAGATTTAAAATGCAACAAAATTGATTACAATTATTAATTAAAATTAATGAATGGTTAATTACAACATGCGTTACGCGCGCATTTTCAAAGTTGTGAATATGTCGTTCACGTGTTGACTACTGACAAGTTCTGCTGCAGGTTGGAGTCTATGTTGATATAGCATGGGATGAAATTGCAATACTAAAAAATATGAATGGGTGTGCCTATTGTAATGCTTGCTGTCTTAATAATACCTCATTCAAATGCAACTTGCAAAAAAATTTTTTCTATTGTTAAAATGTTTTTTCTATTATTGTTCTAAAAAAAAAAAAAAAAAAAAAAAAAAAAAGACTGAATTTCGCCTAAAATTAGGTCCTAAAACTGTCGAAGCAGTTTTGATTGAAAAAATAAATATTCGGGCAAATAAAGAACTGTGTTATAGAAAATGTATATAGATATGTATATCGATTTTAAATGAAATAAAATTGATTACAATTAATGATTAATTAAAACATGCGTTACACGGGCATTTTCAAAGTTGTAAAAATGTCGTTCGCATGTTGACTGCTGACAATTTTGCTGCAGGTTGGAGTTAATGCATTGTCACAGCTGTGAACCTTCATTATGTCTGTGGGTTGGGGTCTTCATGCAGTCCTTTCTTTCTGAGTTCTTTCTTCTGAAGTTGCAGACAAAAGTTTGTCCTGGTAGACAAACATCCTTTCCTCAAGTAAGTTCCACTTTCTTTGTAAGTTTAAAGGACACCATTTACACCATGGGTTAATGACTTTTGTTATTTTGATTTGTGTACTGCTTGACCTGTTGTCCGAATGTTGAGCACACTTAACCCTATCTTTGCCTTGGGCCTTAGGTAAAGTCGACAGGGAAACTTCCCTTTTTTTATCAATCCATCAATTTTATGACTTTTGCCTCTCTTCTTTTGTTTGATTAATGGCTGTATCCCATTAGGGGCCTCTTCGCTTGTGAGGAAACTGCATTATCATTACCAAAGAGCTTTATATTATGCTCAATGAAGTGAGCTGTTTTTTTCAAATTGTTCTGGGCATTTCGGGGAGACTTCCTGAATTCTCATTTGTCCAAAATTTTTCAGAGCATCTCTTGATTGACAATAGCACCCTTATTGACCGTGGATGTAATGATGGCAGGCCTGGGAAATCTCTGTGACAATTTTTTGGTTCTGACTTAGGACTGAAACAGGATGGTCTGTGACAATGCATAATAAACCACCTATAAATACCAGTTAAAATAAATTTGCACTTTTTAAAACAATTTATTTGCTCATTCTCTGAATCTGGAACAAAAGAGTTGTCTCATTTCCTATGTATATGAAAAATAAATCAGTGTATGTTAAGTAATAAATAATTTAAAGAAGTCGAGATGAATTTCCAACTAAGCAGTTAGAATGTAAGAATTCTACGTAGCTGTGTTTCCGAAATACATCAGAATTGAATTTTTCTAAACAAAAACTAAAATGAACGTAAGTGTCTTAAGTACTAAAAAGTAGAAGAATAAAAATGGTAAACAGTTGTAGAGACATTAGATATTTTTTGGAAGCAGGTAAGATGAAAAATGAGCAAACACCTACGCCAGGAATCGAATCACAGACCTCTAGAATACCGGTCCAGTGTGCAGAACCACTACACCATGAAGGCACACTACTATGGCAGGAGAAATACCTTATATAGTAATATACACACATATGTTAATCTCTTTTACTTGGAGCTTCAAAACAGAACTTGTCAAGGGAAAAGTGTTTTGAGGCTTCAAACAATGTTGATTAACTAGATCAGTTAAAACAAGTTTCATTCTGACTAATTCACTGAGACTTAGAACAGAAAAACGTAATTAAATCGTCAAAAGTAATTAGAAGAATTTATAATCTCATTGAATTGTCCCTTTTGCCGATGTGTTTCAGCTGCCCAATACAAAAATTGAAAATCAAAGGAAGTAAATATATAAAAAAAAACTACAAAAATTGATACCTATCTAAGAGAGTAAACAGCAAAAGTTAAAAAAATGTTGTAAAAATATATTTTTTTATTTTGAAAAGGAACATGCCTAACATAAGTAAATATTGTAAAAATAAGTACAATGCAATAATAAGCTCAATCTCAAAAATTGAAAATTAATGAGACAGTCCTGTGCACCAACTTTAAAGGAGTGTCTTAATTAAGTATAGCAAAAAACTTTTTTTTAAATATGTGTGAATTTTAAGTGTAAATGATAGCAACTTTGTTAAAATCCTTAAATAAAGAAACAGAATAAGTCAAAAACGTAACCTTGAGAAGAAGCAAGTTTGGCGAAATGATTTGCAAAATCTGGCTGTGAAAGATTGCCATGTTTTAACAATTAACTGCATGGTTACCAGAAAAGAAAAACTGTCTTATTTAAACAAATGGGAGCTTGTGTTGAATAACCTACATGTCCTTGTAATCAGTTTGCTATGCCAATGATCTGTAGAAGAGAGGGGTGTCGGATTGGGGGTCAAAATTGGCCTTACCAGGAGGTAATGCATTTCAACATGGCTATTGTTGAAGAATTTTCTAAGATGGACAAAATGGCGAAACGTCGAACTTGCTAGGTTGGCCAGAAAGTTCAGGAAAAAGGAAATTTGTAATTTGTTAGTAAAAAGTCATCATTCTTCACGTAATCAAGCTCTAGAACATCTGGTGAAATGAAATGGGCCCCTTTTTATTAATAGAAAGGAAAGATGGCCACTAAATTACTATAAATGTAATATATGCAAAATAATTTACTGAAGGAAATCTATACAAAGAGAATTGAAGTTCTAGTATACATATTTACATGAATTTACTTGTATTAGTCATCCATTAGTTACCTCCTAATAAAGGTTTAAGTAAAAAAAAATCATATTACTTATTACAAGCAATTGAAAAATGCCAGCTTTTTTTAGTGAATGTGTAATTAAAGTTCTTGGAATTTGATTAACTAGAAGAATATGAATAAAGTACTGTATTTCTTCTTCAAGAAAGTCTTTGGTATTGCAAATCCTTTTAATTCTGCATGGTTGGGAATTAATTGTATTAATAATTACTCTTTTAGAAATGTTAGAGGTCCAACTGGTCAGTTTGAGTTTGTGAAATTGAAGTTGTGAAATTGAAGTATATTACTTTTAGTAAAAAATTCTACAAGCACGTTAAAAGTATACCTATGGGCGCAAGCTTCTCAACAGTTTTATGTAATTTATTCCTTTCCCCCCAAGAATACAATTTTCAATTGTCACTGAACATGAAACAGAGAAAAGTTTTTACACACGTTTACAGGTATATTGATAGCATTATTACTTTCAATAATTTTAATCAAATCGTGCTTGCAAATATTTATTCTTCCAGCCTTAAACTCAATAAAACAAGCACTCAACAAAATAACATTGTCTACTTAGATCTTAATATCTTAGATTTTACTGAAAATTAAAATTTATGATAAAACATAATTTATAACTTAAACCTATTTTGAACCTGAATTTGTACACCTCTCTACCTTTAGAGGAGATTTACGAAAGCCTACTAACCCTCCTCGATCTTTTTACACAAATTATAAATATCATATCAAGAGAAGAATGCAATCTTTAAGAATTATATTACTTTTAGTAAAAAATTCTACAAGCACGTTAAAAAAAATGTGGAAAATTTTATGATTTTTAAAATAATTATTTCCAATGATTATGATTGCCCTCTAAATGATTCATTTGTTTTCAGGTGCAGACCCTTATTGCATCATAAAATGTGAAGGAGAACGAGTACGAAGTCCAGTGTGTCATGAAACATTAAATCCTGAATGGAATTTAACTGCATTATTTTATCGCAAAAGTCCAGATTCACTGATTAAAATACAAGTAATTACCATTTTTTAACAGTTTATGATATTTCAATTCTTTAAGATCACAATACTTTTGAAATGGCTGTATAAAATATAAATTTCAGTTAAAAAAGGTATATGTTTCCGTGATGAAGTGTCTTAACCCTTTCTGGACGGGCATCCCATACATGCTCTCACAGCCGGGCATCCCATCCATGCATTACCAGAGATTGAATTTACGGGACAGGGATGCATATACACATTTTAACTTGGATCTTTTTTTTTAAAACCGCCAAATGGCACCCTGTGCCCATTACCTTTGAAATGAAGAGAGTTTTATGTTCCTGACCTTGAGTTTGTGTATATTCTGCCTGACTTTGGTACTTCATTCATCAGCTGTTACGAGGGTGGGGGGAGGGGGAAGCGTAATGTAAACAGAGCTGGGCTCTTTAAATTGCCCAGTGTTATTCACATGTCTGATTTATACCTGATTCCTTTTTTATTCTTTTTTCTTCTACTGCAGTCTTTTAGGGTTACTGTGTGGAGGTCTGTTACATTTTGCATTGCCTTCAGATATATTTCGGGTCCTTCCCTTTTTGTTTCAGAAAGCCTTAACTCCAGTCTATTATGGCGCAGAGGCGCAATTTATCAGAACAAGAATACACGCGTATAGTAAATGAACCATTTACTGGCACAGGTGAGAGTGATGATCAATTTTCTAGAGTTAGAAAGTGATACTTCTAGTGATTCTGATATGGATATTTTGTCAGAGCTCAGTGAGTGCCTGCCTTCAACTTGCCATGAAAGTGCGACTCAAGGTACTTCATCTTGGGCTCTTGCGCTTGAGGAATTGCATCCCCATATATTTACTGGAACAATGGAAATAAATTCTATGGTAAATGCTGAAAAAGAAATTGATTTTTTAAATATTTTCTATGACGATGATCTATTAAATTTCATTGCTGAAGAAAGAAAGTTTTGTTCAAAATGCTCAAAGAAGTGCTCCGTCAACTTCTAAGTCAGCCAGATTTTCAGATGTAAATACAGAGAATAAAAAAGTATTTTTTGCAATGATAATACTGAGGGGCACTCTCAAGAAGCCTAATTTGAAAATGTATTTCACTACAACTGAAATATTTGCAACTCCATTTTTGAACAGAGTTATGCCTAGAGATGCGTTCCTTAATATTAAAAAATTTTTGCATTTCGCCTTTTGTTACTTCTTACTGTAAATAGTCTTTTGAATCATTTTATTAATTTTAAACTTTATTAATGAAGCTTGTCAATTAAAATTTTGGAATAATTTGAATAGTGCTTCTGATAATTACTTTACAGGATAAGCAATATTTTAAGTATATTTTCATGTAAAATAAAGAAAAAAAGATTATTAAATGCTAATTTTAACATATATAAGAGGTCAAGTAATAATCTAAAAGGTACCAAAAATTACGATGCTAGAACTCAAACTTTTTTGCGATTTTTTTTTTTCTAAAATGAGGTTTAGCGATGCAAAACCCCCGTTCTGTGCAATGACTGCCTTCGATTCCCTTTCGTCCCTCACGAGCATCTTAAACAAAGGTGTGCCGTCATTGAAAGGGTTAATAAGTAATGTGATGCAACATTATAACTTCTTTATATTTTTAAAATGTCTTTTCATGGTAAAGTGAAAAGGAAAGTCAGCTGATAATGATCCTAAATCATAGAATTAAAATTTTGTATTTTTTATTAGTTGCATACCATCATCTTGGAAGATTTGCTTTTCTTTGTTGGTTGTTATTTTTTCTAGTCTTTAGGTGGCTGAGGTAATTACTGAAGAAATCTCTTTCAGAAATAGAAAACATCTGCACAGAGGCTGTTTAACTTGGAGAAGAGACCTAGTGGACTCAAATATGAGGTAGGATTCAAAAGTTCCCAGACTGAGTCTATAACATAAAATTTTTTGCAGTAGTGCAACTATGAGAACGTTTTTGTGTTACTATGTTCTCCTTTTCTAAAACTGGTTTGTCCCCAATCACGTGGTCGAAAGCTCGCGGCGTCAGCATTTTTTGTAGGTAGGTGTATTTAGTAACCGGCAATCGAAAGAAATGGCATCAGTTGAGCAGAGAATCAATATCAAATTTTGTGTTCGCTTGGGAAAGAGTGGTACAGGGACTTTCAAAATTTTGAAGCATGTGTACGGAAGTGAAACGTTATCGAGAACATGAGCTTTTGAGTGGCATCATCGTTTCAAAGAAGGCAGGGAAAGTGCTGAAGACAACGAATGCTGTGGCCATCCCTTGACTTTGCTCACTGATGAAAACATCAAAAAGGTGTCTGTGGCAGTAGGTGCGAACAGGTAACAGTTTGTGAAATGGCAGAATCAGTTGGGATATCAGTGGCCACTTGTCAGTAGATACTGACTAAGGATCTTGACATGTGTCAAGTGTCCCCGCTTGTTAAACATAGACCAAAAGGGAATTCGTATGAAAATGTCAGGAGACTTAATTTTGGCTGTTGACAAAATAATCCTTTCCTACTTGGAAGAATTGTTACTGGAAACGAGAAATGGTGTTTTTTGTATGACCCGCGAACCAAGAGAGCATCGGTAAAGTGGAAAGCACCACAATCTTCATGGAAGCAGAAGTTCCGCCAAATAGCTTTAAAAGAAAGGGTCAGGCTTGAGGTAGGTATTCTTCGATATCCAGAGCATTGTGCATCTAGAATTTATCCCTGAAGGACGCACTGTGAACAAAGAACTCTACGTTGAAATCCTGAGTCATTTGTACGAATCGATCCAGAAGAAGAGACTAAAAATGTGGGCTGAGCAGTCATGGGTGCTGTTGCATGACAACACTTCTGCTCACTGATCCCTACTCATCAATGACTTTCTTGTGAAGACAAAAACAACTGCTTTGCCTCATCCTCCTTACTCACCTGATCTCACATCCTGCAATTTCTTCCTATTTTCTGAACTGGCAAGACGCTTGCAGGGTTGTTGATATCTATCTTCAGATGAAGTTGCGTGTGCATTGCAGACTGAATTAAAGGACAGGGCCAAAAATGTATTCCAGACATGCTTCGATGAACTTTACAGGCTCTGGCAAAAGTGTGTTATTGCACAAGAGTCTTATTTCAAAGGAGGATGTGTTTCTGCAGTTTAACTCATAATGTTTTTTACGTTATAGACTCAGTCCGGGAATTTTTGAATCCTACCTTATATATATATTTTATGAGGGGGAAAGTAACACTATCTTCCCCTTATATGTATGAGTGAATATTATCATGTGAAATGAATGGCTTATCCCTAAGGAAGTTTATGGTTTTTATGTCATGATGTTTCCTTGGCAAAGATCATTTGTTTCACTTGGAATTGCATATCTTGAAATTTTTTGGCTTATAGACAAGATGAACGTTTCCAATGACTTTACTGTGATTCTAAGACTCTAATCCATGTTTCATCAATAAGGACTATTCAAAATGGAATTTCTTGAAATTTAACTAAATTGTTTAATTTATTAATATAGTGTCTAAGTATTGTTTTTGTTGAGTAGTTAAGTAGCAAAGGGAACAAATTTCTGTCATCTGGTAAACTTCTGTCAAAATTTGATTGCTGGTGTAGATAAAATCCCTTTAGCTTGTGATATTTCCTTGCATATTATTTCATCTTTTCTGTCAGAAAGACCACTATATTCTTGCTCTATTGATGCTTTTGGTTTCCATGAAGTTCTTTTGTATGCTGTATTTTATATATCCTTTGCAAAAATGAGAAGCCTAACAGGAGATTGCTTATTATAGTGTCTGATCAAACGGAAGCAGAGTGCTGTGAAATCTTTGGAATCTCACCATGTCAGTCTTGATATTTGAATTTCTACAGTCACAGAATCCGAGATGCCTGCATACTTTTGTATATTTTGTATACTGGTCACTTCAAAACAGTGTATACTAAAGAACTTATAAGCACTTAAGCTATTGCTTACTGAAAATGGCAGAACTTTGATTTCATTTGCAGCATCTGCTCTTCAGTGCCACTACCTAGAGCTTTATTTTGAAGTTGACTTACATAAGCATTTTAATAATTCACTAGTGATGTATTATCATTTGGTTTGTTTCATTTCTGGCCAGGATGAATTCATAATATAAGATTATTGGGAGACCTGATTTTTATATCAAAGAATGGAGATCATTAGTTTAAGTTGACATTTAAAAAATTTAGGAAATCATACACTCAGATATCCAACAAAAGCTTGACTATCTGGCATTCCTCTAACTGGAAGACACAAGTGACCAGAATATTTGATTTTTTAAAACCTTTTTTCAATGAAAAATAAGCTTAAATCCATCTTAAAGCATATATTGCACTGTTGCTCAGAATCCTGCTTACAACTTCTGAAATGTGAATGTAATTACATGGTGGTTTTTCATATATTAGCCTCCTCTCCCCTTTTTTGTATTCACTGTATTGTTTCAAGAATTCAGCCTTCGACCTGAATGCTTCTTATAGAAAGATAAGTAGTGAGTTAGCATGGCACAGGAACATATGAGAGCTACTCTTACGATTATGTTTAACGTTGACCATTTTGAAAAACAAAAACTTTATCTAAATAGTGTGCTTAGCACCAATAATGGATAAGAGTAATATCTCAACACAATCATAAGATCTTTGATTTGAGTTTTTGTGAAACCAATATGTTCTCAATAAGCCAATTTAATTTATGTATATAATGGAACAACATACAGTGCAGTATTTTCAAAACTGTGGGACCCTGTCACTAAGGGGGGAAAATGCTTTAATGAGCATAGTATAGACTTTATTTGAAAACAATGGTGATGTAGTATGTTATGACAACTTATGATAAGAAATTTAATTTTTTTAATATCTGTAACCGTTATTGGTTGATTATCTAATTTGATAAAGAGTGATCTGTTTTTATCAAACTTCTGCCTGGTGCATGTTTGAGAGGATCTTTGCCAACTCATATAGTCAATCAGATATCATAATTGGATAAAATGTTTTATTTTCACATGTATAAGGCTTACAGAACTATGCTGTCTTTTGTC